CAAGTTCGAGACTGATGAGGGTGGGCCCTCTCCGGACCACCTGCATCTCCTTGGCTCCTCAGGAGCGGAGTTTTCTGAGGCAGCTGGCCAGCATCCGGTGTGCACACTGCTGACCCATAGGTGGGTTTGACTCTACACAAGGTCTGAGGGAGGGTACCGGTCACTGGCCTGACCCCTCCATTTTGTCCCTCTCTGGCTTTCTCGTCTCTTTTGCTTTTTTCTTTTGTTTTTTTAAGACAGGGTTTCTCTGTGTAACCCTGGAACTCACTCTGTAGACCAGGCTGGTCTCGAACTCATAGAGATCCACCTGCTTCTGCCTCTACCTGAGTGCTGGGATTAAAGGCATGGGCTACCATGGCCCAGCTGACTTTTTTTTCCCTAAATCTTTCTCTTTTGAATTTACCTTGGGTTCCAAGGATAACAGGACTAGTTGTTCCCTGTAGTAGCCATCTTTATGACAAAGGACCAAAACTAATTATGAGCAGTGAGCCTAACAGGATGTGTCACCCCACACACAAGAGGGCAATTACCTATGAAGGAACCCTGGAACAGCAACGATCATCTGGGGAAAACCAGGCTGCTCCCCTCAGGGGATGAGCATGATGAAAACTCCAGCACCCCCGAGAACCAGAGCTGACACAGTAGTCAGTCAGACCCCAGGCTGTGTCTACCTCAACCAGGCCTAGGCTTCCCCCTCAAAGAAGAATGTCAAAGTGCCTGTCAGTTCCTGGAGGACAGATTGAGGGGTCACTGAACCCCTCTAAATAAAGCTGCTTCCTCTGACAAGGCACATAGTCTCACACCTATAACCCCAGGACTCCGGAGTTCAGGACGGAGCATCAGGAGTGACACAAAGAGCAATCTATCCAAGAAAAAAAAAAAAAGAGCAGGCATGGCGGCTCACACCTATAACCCGGCACTCAAGAGGCTTGGTCAAGAGGATCTGCTGCAAATTTGAGGCCAGCCTGGGCTACATAGGAAGACCCTGTCTCAAACACACAAACAAAAACACCAAGAAAGCTCCGTTCTCTCTTCTTCAGCACTCATCCATTTGAAGGACATATTTGAAGTGGTGGCCACGCCTATTCCATGGAGACCCCCGCAGTAAGGGGTTTGGCCTTAAAACTGATAACAGTTGTTCTCTCATAGTGTACAGAGCCAAGGCAGCAAAGATCACAGTATTCCAGAGGACGTCGAAAGAAAGCAAGGCAACACACATGTGGCTGCATCGGCGTCACGGCGCGGCAGTGCCCACTGAGGGGTTCTGTGCCCTGCACAGGGCAAGATTAGTCGTGAATGTACAGGACACAGTTGCTCTTCTTAGAAGGGAACCATTGGAGGGTCTGCCAGGTCTTTGTCCCTACAGACCAGAACAACAAATAGGACTGGTTTGTCTTAGGAACTAAAATTCAAAGCGGTTCGTATTCACAGCGAGACTTGCATTTATGGGCTGGGAGATAGAATAAAGAAATATGCAAGAATTTGAGGCAAAGGTACAAAGATATAGAAACGACAAGGACAAGGTAAGAGGCTGAGAGGCCATCGTGAGTGGAAATAGTACAGGATGAGTAAGGGAAGGACAGGGATTGTCACTATACAACTAGTGTTTGTCCCATATGCCATCCCCAGTCAAACAGGCACAACTAAAAAACCACACCTGGAGGAACCCTGTCTCGAAACACACACACACACACACACATACACACACACACACACACAGAGAGAGAGAGAGAGAGAGAGAGAGAGAGAGAGAGAGAGAGAGAGAGAGAGAGAGAGAGAACCACACCTGAGTCCCAGGCACTGGCTCTAAGTGTGTCCTCCAGAAATGGTTGAGCTTTGAGCATAAACAGCTTTCCCAAACCCAGGGAAATATGCTATTCACAAAGCCAAAGGGTTAGGCTAGAGGCAGATGGTCACTGGGACGCCACAAGCTTCAGGACTGATAGTGATACCCACAGGCTCTGAGAAAGTAGGACATGCTAACCAAAGGATCCAAAGGCCAGACATATGGTCCTCTGTTACAGTCTACCTGTGATGGCTATTTTTGGTTGTCAACATAATCACATCAGAAATTAACTAAAACTCCAAGCAGCTGGTTAGACCTGTAAGGGATTTTTTTTTTCCTGAGACAGGGTTTCTCTGTGTAACAGCCTGTTCTGGAACTCGATCTGTAGACAAGACCGTCCTTGAACTCATAGAGATCCACCTGTCTCTGCCTCTGCATCCTGAGTGCTAGGATTAAAGGCGTGTACCACCACCGCCCTGTGCTGTAAGGGACTTTTTGGTTAATCAGGTCACTTGAAGTTGGAAGACCGCCAGGTGGTACTGGTGCACTCCTTTAATCCCAGCACTCGGGAGGCAAAGGCAGGTGGATCTCTGTGAGTTTGAAGCCAGTCTGGTGTAGAGTGAGTTCCAGAACAGCCAGGGCTACACAGAGAAACCCTGTCTCAAAAAAAAAAACAAAAATAAACAAAAACAAACAAACAAAATAATAATAAAATAATCCAAAAAGATGAAAGTAAAAAGCCAACTCCATAAAGTTGTCTCTGGCCTCCACAGGTGTGTAGTGGCAGAACTATCGTCTCCTAAATCATATTATACACACACACATATGTGGAGCTGGGTTTTGTAAAATGAAGCATTTTGCTACCACTTTGGGCTCACATTGCAACCTTAAGAAATGAAGAAATCATGGCAGGCCTTGTGCCAGATGTCAAGAATTTCCAGCAGGGGGCAGTAGGACACGGCAGGCAGCTGGTCCCTCCACAGGCAGCTCTTCCTCTAGGGTCACTGTGGAAACACTCCTAATTAACCTAGGCAACAGGTGGAAAAAAGGAGCTGGTGACCCCCAGTGTTAGTCTGTGACTCAAGAGGGTCACGTGCTCAACGCACTGACTATAGGAAACAGGAATTGAATAAGTTAATTCATGGTCTCCAGGAGACCCCAAAGTAAATGGAAGAGAAACTAAGTTTCTCCCAGTTTAGGAGACCTCAATGCCACCAATTTATTGTCCTCTATGTTTGTAAAGGGACTTACAGCCCCTTCTCTCTAAGTTCCACAAAAGGAAGGGCACTCAGAATCAGTTCTTTGCCCCAGGTAATCAACATCCACCCCACAGCAGGCCAAGAACAAAAAAGGTCCAAAGCCTCTATCAGTCTGATTTGAAATGAAGGTCCTAGCCGGGCGCTGGTGGCACACACCTTTGATCCCAGCACTTGGGAGGCAGAGGCAGGCAGATCTCTGTGAGTTCGAGGCCAGCCTGATCTACAGAGTGAGTTCCAAGACAGCCTCCAAAACAATACAGAGAAACTCTGTCTTGAAAAACAAACAAAAACAAAACAAAACAAACAAACAAGAAAGGAAGGAAGAAGGAAGGAAGGAAGGAAGAAGGGTCCTATAGGCTTGAAGCATTGCAGCAGCAAAAACCATTAGTGAGGAAGGGTCTCAGCTGGCTCAACAGTTACTGACTGTTCCTGCACGGTACCCAGGTTTGTTTTCCAGAACATACATGATGGCTCACTACAGGTTCTGTGGTGTACAGACATACTTACAAGTTAAACACTTACACACATAAACATTTTAAAAAATCAATTATCTTTAATTAATCATTATTATTATTTTGGTTTTTGGAGACAGGGTTTCTCTGTGTAACAGTCTTGGCTGTCATGGAACTCACTTTGTAGGCCAGGCTGGCCTCGAACTCACAGAGATCCTTTAGTCTCTGCGTACAGAGTGCTTGGATTAAAGGTGCTCAGCTAAAACTCAAATTTTAAGAATCCTAACATTAGTGAGAAATTTGTCAAGGAAGTGGGGCATTGTGAACCCAGGGTTCAGTACCACAGGGTCTCTCACCAAGTCACCTACCCTGCCAGAGCCTGCTTATTCTTCGGGACTCAAGGCAATGGCTCAGGGAGCTACTGGGACCCACTCATCTCCGAAGGGAATCTAAGGAGAGTCAAGGCTCTGTAGGAGACTAGCTGAGATGAATTTGGGCTTCGGGCTCCAGATGGGGCCTACAGGTTTGATGAGGGAAGGTGTTGGTTAGGGTCTATTATTTCCAGTGGAGGTCACACATCTCTGCCTGCTAGCATCTTGCACCATCTATTTCTATCTTTAGCAATGCAGAACATAGGCGGGAACCGAGCATGGTGTAAGGATTCAGGCATTATGCCGGCCTGCCCGTTACCTGGCATAATGCACTCAGGCAGATGCAAAGGACCCCTTTAAAAGAAAGACCTCTGCCCACTTAAGCTCTTCTTCCGGCTCCTCTCTTCCCAGCTCTTTCTGCTCTCTCTCCCACTGTTCCCCTGGGGCAGACAGAACTTTTCCTGTCTCCCTCTTCTCTTCTGTCCTCCCTCTGTCTCTCTGCATCTTTGTTCCTCCTCCAACCCCTTCTAATAAAACTTCTCACTAAGCACTAAGCTGTCTGCCTGGCATGTTGTCTGCCTGAGTCATCCTTGCCTGCCATGGAATCTGCCAAGGTCCCCCTAAAACTCTTAAGCAAAACCCGCAGGACCAACGGAGCCTGCTCATCTCTCTTGAACCACCTTAACTGCCCAAGCACCTTGGGGAGCCCTGCTCTGGAGTATTGGGCTGGTTCAAGTTCTCTTACTGAGAGTGTTTATGGACATGCTAGTCTCTCCTGGGGACCACTCAAAGGGAGGCAGGCACATACAGAGGGTATGAAGCCAACTGTCTTAGGTACAGTTTCTGTTGCTGTGAAAAGACCCGACGACCATGGCAACTCTTACAAAGGAAAGCGTTAAATTGGGGCTGGCTCATAGCTCGGGTTCAGTCCATTATTGCTATGGTGGGAAGCATGGCAGCAGGAAGGCAGACGTGATGCTGGAGAGGGAGTTGACAGTTCCACATCTGTATTAGCAGACGGCGGGAAGAGAGGCCTGGCTTGGACCTTCCCAGTTATACACTTCCTCCTAACAGTGCTACTTCCTATGGGCCTCGGGGCCCACTTTCTTCAAACCACCACACCGACAGAAAGTTGCTTGGATTCAATCTTTACTTCCAATCCCAGAAAATCTTTTCATTTAAAAGTACTAAACAAACACGGACAAGAGGGAAAAAGCTATCATTTACAAGGTGTATACCTTCAACAGGCACCTCCCCAAATCTACCAATACCCACAGATACCAGGCAGTCCTCAGGGAGTCAGTAATCAGATCTACATCATAAATGCGTGACCTTTTTATTTCATAGAAAACCCAACCAACCCGAAAAGGCCAGGCTGTGCGCCAGCTTTGTGCACGCAGACTCTTCCAGATACCATCTTGTCTGGCCAGGCGGGGAAGGGAGAGGCAGCCCAACCTTCAGCAGTTCATGGAGACAGCAAGCTGGAGGCAGCAGAGAAGCTGAGAATGCCAGAGTGTCCTTGCTTCTCCTGGCTTGAAGGGAAGTGGCCCCATGCGTCCCTGGTCTGTAGGCACAGGTCATGGTCAGCTACCTCTTGTGTGGGTAGCAGGCCCCCTAAGGCTGCATGGAGGGCATCCCGTTGCTTGCCTAGCTAGCGCGAACAAGTGGAAAGCAATCCAAGACGCGCCAGTCTTTACGCTCAGTCCCCCTCCAACCATTCAGAAGAGGGCCTCAGTCCACTGAGCCGTTGTAGGATTTGTTGAACTTGTTGAAGGCGAAATCTACGGTGTGTGTGGAGATGGGCTTTCTGTACAGGGGGTTGGAAGCCTGCGATCATGAGAGAGCACAGGTGTTACTTCAGCCTCAGATCTAGCACCTCCAGGGATGACTGCCTCGGCCTTGCTCTGTGCTCTGGGGCACTCCCTCCCTTCTCTTCATCTCTGAAACGGAGGGCTCAGGCGGCCTTGTAGCCTGAACAGACAGACTCTATCTCTGGGGAGTCAGAGGTATTATCTCTGAGCGTGGCTCTCCTGAACATGAGCCTCCATGGGAAGTAGATGAACAGGGAGTGCCTGGGGCAGAAGGCTTGCATATATGGCCATCTGTGGTGATGCCCTGCTTGTACCAATAGAGCCTGTCTGGCGGTCAGAGAATGGAGCTTGCCCCTAGCTAACCATAGAGGTTTGGAGGTCTGTACAGACAGACAGGAAGTGAGGTAGGTGGGCAGAAACAGGATATAAACAGGGAGAAACAGGAATCACTCTCTTGTCTCCTGAGATGCTAAGGAGGTAAGGTGCAGCAGTGGCTTGCTCCCTCTCTCTGATCTCTCGGCATTTCCCTCTATATCTGACTTATCTAGACCAATTAAGAACTCCATTTACAGCCACCCAACCAGACCTGGGGGCTTGAGCCGTTTCCTTGGGCTGGGTCTCTGTGTCACTGAGCCTGCCTCTGGCACTTTGCCCCACAGCAGTCCCAGCATGGGCAAGGGGTCTACATGTCCCTAAGTCTTCCAGGTGTGCGAGTCTCCCATCCAGTACTGAAGATGTTGATTCTTCACTGTTCATAGATTTGTTTGTTTGTTCTGTGATACTAGCAACTGAGCCCAGAGCCTTGCGCAGGCCAGGCAAGCACACTGCCACTGAACTACACTAAAAATAAAATAAATAAAATTTTTTTGTGAGAGCCCTATCTGCATGAATGCCTGCAGGCCAGAAGAGGGCACCAGATCTCATTATAGATGGTTATGAGCCACCATGTGGTTTCTGGGAGTTGAACTCAGGCCCTCTGGAAGAACTACCAGTGTCCTTAATCACTGAGCCATCTCTCCAGTCCCTGGTTATTTTTATCCCAAGACAAGGCCTTGGTAAGAAACCCAGGCTAACTTTGAACTTCCAAGTCCTGTTGCCTCTGGAGAAACTGGGATCATAGGTGTATAGGTTGTATACCACCACACCTAGCTCATTCTTCCTTAGCTTCATTGATTGTTTATAATAGTGAAGATACTGCTGCCTTTGGCCTTTGCTCCAGGCCAGCAGCCTCTCTGTTACCAATTCCACACCTACCATTTCATAGCGGGCCCTGGAGCGCTCACTCTGGAACTTGGCAAACTCTCGGCGGTCATGGATGGTGACAAGCAGTTTCCAGATGGCCAGAAGTGCCATCCCGATCAGAAGGATGCTGCCAACCACAGCCAGCAGGATGGTCATGGCATTGGGGGCACTTGCGCACTCTGGAAGGGACCGGGAGACAGGTTAGGCAAAGCAACTCCTGCACACTTCTACCTTCTGACCTCAGTTACATCCGAGGGGAGAGGTTGCCTCCCTTGGGCTCAACTTGGAAACTGGGTTGTGATCTGGAACTTGCAAACCTTTTTCTACTTCCTCCCCAACCCAAAAACTGAAATGGCTGACATATAGATAGAAACTACAGTCACTCTGAGAACAGGCTGTTAGTCCCAGTGCCCAGAACACAAGACAGAATTGTTGGTACCGACAGACTGTTGTGACCCAGACCATCTCCAATTTAAGGGACACCCCAGTCCTGGTGGACCAGCCGCCCTGAACCCTCCCTGCAAAACCCCTTAACCAAGCATGCTAAAGTGTCCTCCGTGGTGACCCTACACAGCAACACTCCCATAGATCCACTGCCCCAGCCCCAGCCTCTGCCTCAACAGCATGGCCGGCTGGTGTGCTCCTCACAGGCACTTTGAGACGGGGTCTCCTGTAGGCCAGGCCGACCTTTAAGGGCCTGAATTTCGCATTTTTCCGTCTGTACCTCCCAGAGTGCTGGGTTCACAGGCACGAACCACCACTCAGGGACTGGCACAAGAGAGCAAGGCCAGGGGGGCCCCTCAGGCTCTCACCTACCTGGCTCCCTGAGGACCGTCAGGTTGGACCTCCCATTGGGCAGTTCTGTATAGCTGAACATCATGACGCAGTCCTTAGCAGTTTTGTAGAAGCAAAGCACAGCTTCCTGGTCGTCTTTGACTAGGAGGAAGCAAGCAGAATTACCCTGAGCATCTTTCTGGGAAACATCGGAACCGCCGATGGACAAAAAAGACGGGAGACTTAAAAGGGGCTGCAGGCCATTAAAACGAGCTCAGATTTCTCATATCAAGGCCCAGGGCTAAGTGTATTGCTCTGGGGACATGTGGTTCCCATAAGGACTGTCAGCCTTCTGAAGTGGTGGCTGGTGGTGACACGAAATAAAAGACACCTTCAATGGTCAGGAGTGGGCGTGGGTGAATGGAACGGGATGCGACAGGCCTGAGTGAGCGTCTGCCTTTGGAAACTGGCCCAGTCTGCAGGGCTAACTTAGCTAAAGAAGACAAGAGGATGCTCTTCCCCGAGAGCTGGAGCTCAGGGTGCCAAGGCTCTCCGGACGAGAGGCTGGCTTGGTGGTGGTCCTCCACACTGACACTGTGAGCCTCTGTCAGAGGTCAGGCCATTAGAGACCCCGCTCTGTCTGTGACAGGTCTCGTTCCCGACAAACCCCTTCCTCAGCTGCCACAACCCTTCTCTTTCCCCACATCACCCTGACTAGAGTGGACAATGTAACTGTCCTCCCAGGCACCAGGTGCCTGAAAGGTTTTTCTCTTCTTTATTTTTGTTTTTTTGGAACAGGGTTTCTCTGTATTGTTTTGGAGGCTGTCCTGGAACTTACTCTGTAGACCAGGATGGCCTCAAACTCACAGAGATCCACCTGCCTCTGCCTCCCAAGTGCTGGGATTAAAGGTGTGCACCACCAATGCCCAGCTGGAAAAGGGTTTTAAGATTGATTTTTAAGAGGTAATGGGGTTGGAAAAAAGAAAGTCAGTCAACAAGGGCATCTTGGCCCCAAATCACAAGCACAGGTTAATGCTGTGATACTAAATGTGCTTCTTTTCCTTTTCAACCTGGTTGAACAGGGGCTTCAACAGGAAACAGGTGAACAGGTGTGGCTAGCCAACCTTTTCTCTCAGCCCCTTCAGACTTAGTGAGGGTGTGTATTTTTAAAAGCACAAGAAAGAACAGGACGCCATGACACACAATTATAATCCCAGTGCTTGGGAGAGCAATGTAAAAACAGAAACAAAATGATAAGGCTGGGCATGGTGGCACACACCTTTAATCCCAGCACTTGGGAGGCAGAGGCAAACAAATACACCAAGCATGCCAGCCAGCCAGCCTGGCGATATGTGGTGGATCAGCCCGCTGAGAGGATTGGGCTAGGAAGGAGACAATGCACAAAGGGCAGGCTTGCTTGTGGGAGGTGGGAGCCCTTTTTTCCTCACTACATGTGCTTCATGTAAGAGAAGCTCAGCCAGGCCCTGGAAGGCAAGCTACGGAAGGGCAAGATAGGAGAGTGAGAAATTGCAAAGAATTCTCACCTCCCCCAGAGCCTGGGACAGGGCTGGCCGCATGGAAGGTGCTCCCTGAATGCTTGCAGGGTAAACAGACTCAGCATACTCCATGCCAAGCAGTCAATCAAAATCAGGGGAGAGGGAACACGAGCGTGGATAAAGAGAGAAGAAAGAAGCCAGGACCAAGACAGACAGGGCAAGGGCCAGGAGTTTACATTACAGCGGCTGAAGGTCAAGGCATGGGAAAGCCTGCTAGCACTGTCGAGCATTGGTTGGACGTCCCCCCTTCAGATATATGCATTCCCTCAGGAACTGTTTAATCATTTCAAAATGTAGCCAATTTAGGAAACTCGCAATGTTATACCAGTGCCCAGAAATGTCCACACGTGTTAGCATATAATCTCTACTCTTCCTGCCCTTTCTCAACTGGCATTGCCTACTGTGGACATTTTAAATAGCATCATGTAATACCTATGTTCTTTTCTGCCCAGCTTCTTCCACTTAGCCCAATGTTTTGGAGGCTCATATGTGTTATCATGTTAGTGTTTTGCTCTTTACTGTGGTAAAAATAATATTCCATTATGGATGGATATAGAACATTTACTTCAGTAATGAACAACTGACTATTACAATCAATGCTATGAACACGTGAAAATCAGGTCCAACTCTTTGGGGCATATACCTCACAGTGGAATTGTTATATTTTGTGATGATTCTGACTCCTGCATGACATTCCTGCCAACAGTATGTAATGGTCCCAACCCATGATCCCTCTGGAGAGTTAACAATCATGCCAAGGAAGCTGTGCTGGGCTTGACTCAGGGCTGAGACCATTTGCTCCCCAGGGAGAAACAAACCCCTAGAAGCCGGCCAAGGTCCACAGAGACAGCCGTCCATGGTTACCCAGGGCACTCACCGATGGTGTCTACCCACGTGATCACCTCCTCTCTGCACTGGTGGTGGCAGGTCTGGTTGTCAGGTTTCCCCGAGTGAAGCAGCAGGCACTCTACACAGTCTCTGAGAAAATTCATGTGGGCATTAGCTGCTGTGTAATGCCCCAAAGGTTCAGCTGCACTCCTAACGTCTGGCCTTGGGGACAAGATGCTCTGACACCTTGCTGGTGTTAAAAGGAAGTCCCAGGGTCTCAGAGAGATATGATTGGCTTTAGAGGTGTATCTGGTATACAGGTCAATTTGCCAGCTGCTGACCTTTCCGGTTTGACAGCAGGAACCAAATCTGCACCTTGCTACAGTGACATGGCCAAGCAGTCAGTCGGCTCCATGGAGATGTCCAGGGAATAACGACCACTCCTGGGCCTTGGGGTGCCTCCACATTCCTGGGGCCAGTGCTTGAAGCCCTGTGTTATCCCCGAATGGTAACAAGGACTTTTAGCAGTAAGCCTCTATGCCTGGGCTCAACTGAACCCTCAGAGCTGACTACCAGGATGGGGCTTCCTGGCAAGTCTGATGCTTGGAAGGACTGATCATCACTGTCTGGGCACCTTGGGCTCCCACCCCTTCCCTTTCCCACATAGTGTCCACCTGCCAGCATCCTTCAGGGCATGATGGCCACTTACCTGGTAATTGGTCTATACCAAAGTTTATAACAGAGGCCTTCTCTAGAAAATGGATGAGGAGTCAAAAAAAGAGGCCCTCTCAATCCCCCCTCACCCACCCTTGGGTGACTGCCCGTGAAGATGCTAAATTAAAATGCCCCATTGAACAGCTATTACATTTAAACCCAGGTCCAGACAATCCCTCTTGAGGTTGCATTGTAATAAAAACGTAGGGACACAGGAGGGAGGCCAGGCGTGAGTCAAGCAAGCCACTGTTAAAGTTTGTGAGAGAGGAAGGGTCTCTGCCTCCTTGGGAGGACCAGGGTGGTGCCATAGGAAAAGCAAACTCCATGGCAGAATGGGTAGGGTCAAGCAGCCCAGGGGACACCAAGGCTCTGGTGGAGTGGCACTTGAAATTCTAAGGACACAAGAGGGGTTGCTAGAGTCAGGCATGCAGGGGAGGTACTGTGACCCTGAAGTAAGGGGTAACTGCACACAACCCCAGCCACAAGGGGGCAGGCCACCCTACTTATACCATGGGCCCCAAAGAGCTGGCTGTCTAGAAAAGTTCACCAGTACCGGAGGGAGCGCCATCATAGAGTAGGGCCACTCTACAGAGGACACTGAGACCCAAGAGGAGAAGCAGATGTCAGGGCCCCTACCAGTGTCCTGCCTCCCGGACATGCTCAGGCCACCTTCTGGGCATTGATAAGGACTGGGCAGTGGGTAGATCATGAAGAGAGAAGGCTGTGACTTTCTCAAGAGGACACTGACATGCTTAGGAATTTAGCTACTCCTCTCTTTGGGCCGATCTCAGGCAGACTTTAGATTTGTCTCGTGCCCTGCCTGGTCCCTCCTTCCACCCCCTACCCCTCAGGGTAGGCAGGCTTGGTCAGGAGCCAGAAAGGGGTGACTCCGTCTTTGGCCATTCACACTGACCCTTGCTGGACCTTCCGCCAGCCTCCTGGATCAGCACATGGCAAACAGGATGCCTGGTTTCCGGTTAGCTGGAACCCATAACTCCCCTCAGATGCTCCACTGTATCAATACAACTCAGTGTCACTTCTAGGACACACTCCATACAACCCACAGGGCTACAGCAGCCTAGAGCTGAGCTCCCCCACATCCGGAAACTCAGACTGCACTGTAGTTACGTATTAAAAGCATGTCTGCCCCTTTACAAAAACAAGCCACTCAGAGAGCTTGTGCAAGGCATGTTAATTAAAATCAGCTGGAGGCAAGTGTGACCTCACCAAAGTGAAGGGTGTGTTTGGTTAGTTCTAGAACAGGAGGAATGAAGGACTAAAGCATTCAAAACCTCTCAGAAAACAGAAAGCAGGAAAATGGCCTAAAATTTCATTATCAAAAGAGCTTTCTTTTAAAAAAATTTCCATTATGCCATAAAGAGACCAGTGTGGTCCTGGGATAGATGACAAGGGGCAGTCCCTATCTTTGTGCTTTCTTAGCTTTTCAGACATTTAAAGCAAGGGTTGCTTTTCCCTAAGGCCTTTTAACCACTGAGACAACCCCACATTGCCTGCGGCTCCATGGGAAGGTAAAGAGGCTTCTGCTCCTTTTCCTATGTCCGTGTGCTGCCCCAGCTTGGCCCACACCCCAGGGTCTGCTGGGAACTGTGGGGCTGGGGGTCCCGGGACACCATGCTGACTAGAGCTGCGATCCTACCCACACGGACATGGTGTCTGGGCCATTCCCTCCCTATCTGGCCTCTCAATCTACAGGCAGGCTCAGCTGCCCGTGCCCAGGGCTGTCTGTGGCACATGGCCAGGGAGGGTCAAGCCACTCTGAACATTTTTGAACACAGCTGACCAGCAGCAATCACAGGCTCTGCAAGCATGAACTCACTTCATTATCAGCCTGGCCAGACGTTAGCAGGGAAATCTGCCAAAAGAAAAGCACAGCCGTGCTCCTTTGCCAAAGAATAACGCTGCTTGCATCACCACTTGCTTCTACTTGGTGCCCAGCTTCCCCCGCTGCCTGGCTCCTCAGCACCAAGGATGACACAGCTGTTTCCCAGCACGTTCTGACGGCCAATGCCACGCCTGTGCTCCAGGCAGCACCGTGGCTTGACTGTTGCAACTGACTTGTGTTGCACCGTGGTGGTGGGTGTGAAGAGCAGAGCCCTGGATGGTCATCGGGGTGTGTGTGACCTGCCTGGGCTGAGCCCGGGACAGTAGCCTGGACAAGCTCTACATTCAGCCCTACTCCATTATCAGCATAAATAGAGCAGAAAAATCCCAAAGCCCCTGCACTCGCTTCAGGCATCCCTATCTAGGTCGGCGCCTTTCCATCCCATTTGCCTTCTGATTACAGTTTGTTTAATGCAGCATTCCCACAGGCCTGGTCTATGTTTGGGAGATGCTCTGCAAGGATCAAAGGCACCTGGGAAAGAACGCACAGGGCATTCCCTCTAGAGAATAGACGATGGCATACCCAAGGCTCCGTTTTGTCTAGACCAGTTTCATCTCATTTGTCACTCTGCAATCTCTAAACTTGCTTAGAGTGGATCGGTGATCTTGTTTTTGGGAACGGTTTCACTTTCCTTCCCCTGATCCCTGCCTGGCCCTGCACACCCGCCCTCCAGACACCTAGCATTTCATGGCCGTTGTTTTGGTGACTGTTAGCAGAGGTTTTGGTTGGCAGCCTGTGTGTGGACGAGGATGGACCACAGACACAGGAGGCTGGCTGGGGAGGGTGCCTGGTGAAAGACAGGTTGGGGCCAGAAGAGCAGGCAGGCCCTTACCTCTTGGAGCTGCAGGCATCTGGGCAGGTTGGGCACTTCTCACATGTTTCCCCAAAGGCTCCGGGCTCTGTACACTGGCACTGCCCACAGACACAGCGGCCACGGTCACTGCAGATCTGCCCATCCTTGGCCCGGCAAGTGCTGATGTCCGTTGAGCAGTTACAATTGTCCCCAATGTAACCTGCATGGCACTTGCATTCTCCACAGTGACATTCGCCGTGGCCTGAAAGGACACACACATGTATCAGTCAGGGCTTGCCAGCCTTTAAATATGAGCATATGCCACCCGGTGCCCGCCATGTGCCAGGGTGAGGAATCCCACAGAGAACGGGGCACTGGTGATGTCACAGGACAATATGCATAACCTGACAGAGTGTAGACGGGTGTTTTGATTGGTCCAGACCCTGGTCAAGTCACAACACAAAACCAGAAAAGCATCCTGATTCAGTTAATGTATGAAACTAGTCCCCCAAAATGCCCACTCCAGAAACTGTGACTACTGCACAGCGGTGACTGAGCAGAGTAGCCTCTTCTGGATGGTCCAGTTGGGCCCTAAACCTAGCAACAAGGTCTTTACAACAGGAGCAGGGGTGACTACAGAAGGTGGCGAGGGGACAACAGAAGCAAGGCACTCCGCAGCTGGCTTCGAAGATGATAAACAAGAAATGCAAGCAGCTGGAAAAACCTAGCGCCTCCAGGGGTGTGAGGAAGTACAAGTGTGCAGACACCCTAACATCAGCCAGGGAAATACGCTCTGAAGTCTGGCCTCTGCGCTCTGAGAACAGATCCAGACTGCTGGACCGCACAAAACATACAGTGATTTGTTACAGGCCCAACCAAAACCAAGCGCAGCCATGCTTCCGGAGTCCTAGTGAGATGCTGAACTGCTCTGGCCCTGGGGCCCCGCAGTCCCTAGACAGAGGGCTACAGAGCGTCAGTCCTCACGGGCACTCAAGGACTCTTGTAGGCATGTCTGTCACAGACTGGTGCTGTCGGCTCCACCCATTCTCACAGTAACCCACAAGGCGGGCGTAACTCATGAGGATGAAACTGACACACAGAAGAGACAGTTCATCGAAGGTCACCCAGCTAGCTATAGGAGACCCAAGGGAGTCAGTCCAGTGTCCTTGGTCTGAACTCCTGCCCAGAGCAGGCTTGGCCATCATGAGAACCTACTGGGGACAACCTACTTCTCCTTGCTTGGATGGGTCCTGTCCCCAGCCTGTCAGGGAGGAGGTGTAGTAGAAATTAAATTGGCAAATTGCCATGTGCTTGCAAAAAAGCGGAACTTTGGGAACAAGAGCATGTCCATTTCAATGTCCTCTGAAAATATCCTGAGCAGGATGGTCCCCTGGCCCCGTGACAGCAAATAGCTAAGGGTATTTCAGGCATTGTGCCCTTGAGAACAGCTGCAAGGCCGACCATCTCCAACAGAGGTTACTACTGTTTACCCCACGGTATAAAAATGCCTGTGTCACGACGGAGACGCAAATGCATCCTCAGAAAGCACTCTGCTCTGCCTGGGAAATCTCAGCAGACTGGGCGATGTTTACTGACTCCATCGGGTTCCTCCAGCTGTCTCTGTTGGATGGCCTAAGTGCCCAATTTGATGTTTTTGCTATCTATCCGTTACCTCTTGCCACCTGCCTAGCAAACGCACTCATTCAAAACAAAAAGCATAGCTTTTGTAGATGGTTCTGTTTGCAACAGGGAGGCATTGTCTCAGGGTTCTGCAGGCATCAAGGGCAGCAGCATCACTGCTTGGAGAACTGATTGAGCACCTTCTGGGCAAAAGGAGAGCATGGACACTGCTGTGTCCTCTGTCCTCTGGGGATCTGGATTAAACAGCTCACTTTTCCAAAGGTTTATTTTTTGTGTGTCTCTGTGGGTGGTTATGTGCATACGTGGGTGGGAGTCCACAGATCCAGAAGGGAGTGTCAGATCCCTTGGAAATGGACTTAACAGAATGTTGTGAGCGTCCTGACATGGGTGCTGGGAACTGAACTCTGGTTATGCAAGAACAGCAAGTGCTATTAACCACTGAGTCAATTCTCCACCTGTGAAATGGCTTTTATAAAAAGTTGACTGTTGCCGGGTGGTGGTGGCACACACCTTTAATCCTAGCACTTGGGAGAGAGAGGTGGACAGATCTCTATGAGCGTGAGGCCAGCCTGGTCTACACAGTGAATTCCAGGACAGCCTGGTCTATAGAGCGAGTTCCAGGACAGCCTGGTCTACAGAGCGAGTTCCAGGACAGCCAGGGCTACACAGAGAAGCCCTGTCCTAGAAAAGAAAAAGTTGACTGTTGTAGCAGCGTATCTTCCTCCTTGGTGCCCCGTTGCTAAGGCCGACACCATCAAGAAAACCAGGAGTTTGCATGTACTGAGCATCTGCCCACAGATGAGTGCAAGACAGGAGAGCGCAGCTTTGAGTGTCATCACGGTGGGAATCTGTGTTCACCTCCACTGCGGAGTCCGTTATTCTACACTGGAACCCAGCATGCTCCTGGCCTCGTAATGGATCCGGTCTACAATACTGGTTAGGACCTAACTTCAGAGAAACTCTACTAGTCACTCAGATTCCTGGCCCTCTTCCTCTGGCTCATGTCCTCTGTAGTACCTACAACCTGCAAGGGACAGGAGGACCATCTGGAGTGTCCCTGTGTCCCAACCCTCCTTCACACGACAGCCTCTCCAGTTCACCCCGGTGCTCTGAGCCACAGAGCATTTCAAAGGCGGTGCTGAGGCATACAGCCAGGCGTCCGGGAAGGAAAGAACGCCAGGCAGACCAGGAGGCCGAGGAGTGCCGCTCACACCACACAGGAGCTGCCATGTGATGTGGGTGCCACAGGAAAGCGCCCGTACAAGGTCATGGATTTATGGAATTCAGGATGACCACTGTCTCTCTGCCAGCATGTGATGAGCAATGGCGAACCCCCAAGGGGTCTTCAAAGGTGAAATGGGTCCAACCTACACAACCCCTCCCTTGCTCTCACCCTGGGGACTGTTAAATTGAAGTAGTTCATGGCTAAAGGCAACCTTTGCTCAACGTTTTATTACAGGAAACCTGGAGAAAAGGTAAAGACTTTGCAGTGGACATCCAAATACTTCCCTCCAGTACTCTGTCAGTACATGCATGTACTATGTTATTAATAATATAATTATATCTATCCATTCAGCATGTATATCATTTTTCATGCATTTTAGAGTCAACTTTAGGGGAGAGTGTCATTTTTCATTTTCTATTTTGAGGCAGGCTTTTGCTAAGTTGGCCAAGCTGCCTTGAATTCACACTATTGTTCAGGCAGGCCTCGGAGTCCTGATCTTCTGGCCTCGAACTCCTACCAGGTCTATCCGGGGAACAACTATACAATACGGTTCCGACACTGCCCAGTAGCCCACACATCACAACCTTCTACAAAGCAAGGCTGTAAGAGCTGCAGAAGGCATGGCTGCTCCTCTGTTTCCCACAATTAGGAGCTGTTTCAGTAAGATGTACTGTTTCCTTTCTGCCTCTGTCTTTGGCAGCATTATAAAGAGATCCACATGTAATTTCAAACAACATCCCCATTTATCCAAGTTTTGGAGGTGTGCATCACTCCATGGTGGGGCTGGGTTTGCGATTCAGCATGTGTGCTAAAGGGAAGGAAGCCTTGGTTTTCTGGTGACCAAGTATCTACGTGCAAAGGTCATCTTACTGTAGAATGGGCATGCTCGGCAGAGGTGCCTAGAGCTCTGTAGTCCCATTGTGATGGCTGAGCAGTACGGAAGCCCCACTTGTTTTTTAGAACATCTGATATCCTGTAGGTTCCAGAGAGCGAGAGATGGTGGTGATACAAGAGAAGCCATCATGGGCTCTTGGAAGGAACAAGACCCACCAGAGACACAATGTGTCCTGAAAGCATCCCCGTGCCCCGTGCAGTGTGGACATGACTAGCAAATGAAGCAGCTGGGAAGTAGACAGAGTGTGAAAGTCCAGCCTACCCGGGAGAGGGCTCTCAGAGCAGCAGCCAAGGGGCTGCTGGACATAGACAACCCCACACGTGGCTTTTGGGCTTCCAGTATTTAAGGATTCCAAAGCAATCTCAAAGAAAACCCAAAGAGAAAGGACATCCAAGGTTTGTACTTGGTGATGCTGTAGAGGCCACCATCACTCATGTTCTTAAAGGAATCTTGTCCCCAGTAGAGACTCTAATAGTTACAGTTTGGTGACCAGCTGGCTGCTCACTACCTTTTAAAGACAGTGGAAGAGTCAGGGAGGTGGTTTAGTGGTACAGCCCAAATCCGTCATGCACAGGGACTCGGCTTCACCCATAAAAGCACCACCCAGCACACATAAAGGGTAAAAGAACTTAGGTGAAGACGGGACATCTGCCACTGTGTCCTCCTTGACACTGGTTGTTGTTCCTATCTAATAATAGGGATCTTTCCCAGGGAGGAAGGCCGAGTCCTCAACACAATGCTACAAAGTAGCATAACTAGGAACTGGTTACTACTTGTCATCTTAGCTTAAAGTCTCCCAGTCTCCTTTAGGACATGTAACCTGCATAGCATCTGAATCCACAGATCTGATCACAGAGAATTCTTATTCCATTGTCCACTCTAGAACACCTTCGGCATCTTAGTATCTGTGCAGCTTAGCCCTCTCCTAGTACCCCAGGAATGTATGTATTAGGATGACAAGGGGCATTTGGCCCCTGCTTCCAGGATCACTAGCCATCAACCACTAGTGTCACAGGGCCTAGGGACATAAAGTGAGGCCTCTTCCTCAAAACCAAGCTCAGGACAGACGGTACTGAATTCAATGACGACTGTTCAATATCATGAAGACATACATACGTTTTCATCACACACAGAGAAGGGAGGGATGGATACTTAAGGGTCATGAAATCACTGCCATGCATTGCTACACAAGTAACTTACTTACCATCAGTGCCTCCCTTGTCAGAATGACTGGCAGCTAAATGGACAGGAAGCTGTAAATGTGCCTATTTATACAGAATTTCAGCTCTACAGAATTCACAATACAGTGTTTGTGTGGGCTGCAGGCCAGGTCTTCTTGCTGCTTTTACCAATCAGAGTATAGGCTATTCAGAGGCCTGGGCTGGGGCTGGGGAGTCAGTGGCCTAGAAGGAGCCAGCGAGAAGCTCAGCATTGATGCTTCACAGAGGTGAAGACGGTCAAGGATGGGGGGGGGGCTAGTGGGGTCCCAGGACAAGGTCCA